TTTGTTTATTATATACAGTTGCCAACAGAAAAGTAAACTATCTTATTTACAAATCTTTTCAAATTAGACAGTTTGACCGGGCCCTAGACATTTGTCTCATTTGTCTATGCGATGATCCGGCCTTGACCATTGAATGAGAAATGTTTTTTTCACAAGAAATGTATAAAATTACAGTACTGTATTAGACTTACAGTACCTAATTTATACACTGTACAGATGATAGTAAACTCAACTTACCCACCTAAACTCTCCGTAGCATCACGCTATGGACAAGCAGCCGAACTACTTACACGCTACTAGTGTGTAAGTAGTTTGGCTGCTCGTCCACTATTGGTCCAGATTCAACCTATCCTGTTGCGACACGAGTTGGCGATGATATTTTACCTCATTTTACGAGTCCCTTTTAGCATCTTTATACAAATACGGTCGCAATTTTTTCCAGCGATATACGAATCCACATTATATGAACCCGCGTTATGGGGGGTCTACTGTAATAAACTGGTAAGATATGGGAGTGAGAGGTCACAAATTGCTTGAACTCAAAAGAGGGGGAAACCCAGAAAGGAAAGAGTGAAAACCATAGAAGAATCTGCCACAATTGGTGAAAAAATAGTCAAAGACATGACATATAAAGAAGCTATGGAATAGAATGACTCAGCCAGATGACGGGCTGCCGTGGAAGAAGAATGGAGTCCCTGAGAAAACATAAGGTATGGAACTTAACAGAACTGCCAGAAGGGATAACAACTATCGAATGCAACGTTAAGAAAACATCACCGACAGAACAATACGAATAGAGTACATGGATACTGAGCAACACTTCTGATTCACCGTAAACACATAACTAATGAAGAGATCACTAAATAAAGATAGTCTCTTCGAGAGGGGAGATTATTAGGGAATACTAAACTGAAGTACATGTCGATATAGCAAATTCTGTATGAACCGGTAACACCCGTGTAAGACCACTCAAAACGAGAAGACACCTGTTGTTAAGTTGTGTGCCAAGTTATGATACATGAACAAGTGCATGTATAGAGATTAGAATAAAGTTTAATTCTAAGTTAAAGGACTGCCTCATTATTGTTCTAACATTATATCCATTTTATATATATTTATATATATATATATTAATGGCAAAATGTGCCATCACTGCCAACAGAAACCAAAACCATCACTTTATAAAAAATTGCTATAAATAGAGACTCTACACTACCTGCCTGAAATATAACTAAATCAATAAAGACAGGCAACAAATAATTTAGCCATACTTTCCAAAATATTATGTTTCAATTGATTTAATTTTAATTAATTAATTTTGATTTTATTTTTAATTTTAGTTTCAGTTTTAGTGTAAAAACTAGAATTTAATTATTATTTTTAGTTTTAATTAACTGGCTACCTAGTATTAATAGATATTAAATTAAATATTAATATTATAATACATAATATTATTTTAATAAATTTTTGTTATTTAATTTGAGTTAAGCACCTTTAAACACAGATTCGTGGATGTCATTTATATATGCAAATATAAATTAATGGAGTTTTTATTAATTAATTTGATTTAAATTGAATTGTGACACATACCGAAAACTGGAAGTAGTATCTTACCCAAATGCACATTGAAATCTAATTTGAATAATGTCATCAATGGTTCGTGTCATGACATCTAATGACTCGAGACAAATCTCGGCACCACTGCCGAATCGGCACTCCCATCGTCAATCGGTTGGGTCATTGTCTTTCTTCAACATAGGAAGTATAGGTAGTTGACCAATGACAGTCAACTCTGCCAAGTAGCTTATTCAGAAATCAACTTATTGTACCACAACTGAAGCAAATATGGCATTCCAAATTTTGTTCGTAAACAGGGGCAGTTGTAACCCAAGATTCAACCATATTTTTAATAGTAATTTGTTAATTAATAATAATTTTCTTTTTATTATTTCATAATTTTGAAAATGTAAAATCATAAGACACATACAATACATCAAACATTTAACAACATGCATCTTGTCCCTTTTAAATTAAAATTATAATAATAAAGCTAAGAAAGTTATCATTGCCGTTCTATAAATAACAGAAGTTTAAATTCAGTTAGAATATTTTTAAAACGTAACTATTATTAAATATCAGGATAAACACGAAAACATTACATAAGCTGATTCGGTAGACAAATTAAATCGGATGAGTTCGAGATCTCGTTGATTTTTATTATGTTTACAAATTGAAAAGAATGGGGAAAAATCGTCAGTCCCTTTCTCCTTTCTTCCGTCTATATGTCATTTACGTGTTTCGCGGCAAACGGGCAATTAATTCCATTCGTTCGCGATGGAAAATGCCGCCACTAAAACAATTTCCCGATCGGTTCTTTTTAAATTCTGATTGTCCGACGAAAAGGTGAAAAGTCGCCATTCCAATAAACGAACTTTTTTCATAGAGGGCATCGAGTTGTCGGGAAGATCGATACAATATCGTTTCGTCTTTTATTTATGACGGAATCGGGAACTTCCTCTCGAACCGGAAATTTAACCTCTCTGCACCTGGTCCAGGGAAAAGCCTTTCTGTGATGTCGCCGGAATGCGCGTTTCGTAAATTATCCGTAACGGACGAGAAGAGGAAAAAAAACCTCAATGAATTTTATAGTCGAGGATAGAAAATTTAGAAAAAATATCCGGGAGAGAGGAATCCCATACTTTAAGAAGCCGGTCTCCCTCAAAACTCGAAATCCATTTTTAAACCTAGCAAGATAAAATTAAAATACATCAAACGGCGGAAAAAGTCAGAAAATAAAAAATAAAAATAAACGAGAGAAGTATTAATTTTTTGACGTCGCGTGCTTTTCTTTGTTTCCGTCCGTCCCTCTTTTTCCAGAAACAAAATAACACTTCCGTATAACCAATGGGGAATTCGTTAATGGCCAGCGGCACATTTTGTACGCAAACTATAATTAAATAGATTCCCGATTGAAACAAGTTAAATAGGATTAAAACATGATTAAATCTTGAATCGGAACAGGCTGCCGATTCAAGACTTTTTCTGAGTCGATAGTAAGTTATTGGAGGGAAAATTTTGTTATTTTCGTGGCAGACACAAGAAAAAAACATCCAAATCTAGGTAAGAGTGTGGATTAAATAGTGCCCAAGTTCGTAGGCGGCGCATAACCGTACCGTCGTTGCTCGGGGTCCGGAACGGGTGCTGCAAAAAGTTTGTGGCGCGCTACTTCCGGCTAAAGTCTATTATGAATCCCGTATGTGGAGCGGTTCGAGAGAACAGCTGCATCCGACCAGCTGTTTCCGTCGACAATAGCTCGTACTTTCCAGCTGGTCTGGGAGACGCAACACGTGGCAAACTATTCCCTTCACTTTATTTTTGAAAGAAATTCCGAATCGATGCTGAATTAATCTTTGAAATATTTGTCAACGATTTATCCGCCGTAAATCGTTTCGGACCATTCGTCCCAGTAGCCTCGTAAATTAAGCGATGCTTAATTTACGAGAAGGCCGAATGCCGACGGTGCCGATTTGCGTGATTAGGCTCAATTACGTAACGGGAAAATAAACAAAGGATGCCTTTCGCCTACCGACACTAATAGTTCGCTATCCCCATGCATAAATACGTTACGTGTTTCTTCTTTTAAGTCGCGTTTAAAGTCGAAAACAACGGCAGCTGCTATTTTCCCTCCCGTCTTAAACAAAATGGGGAAAATCGGTTGGGCCAGGACTACGAACAGCTGCGCACCTCTCGGACCGTCGACGTCCATTAAGATATTTTACGTGTCGACTAAGAAACGTTGGGAAACGTCATCTGTTGGCTTGTTTACAAGCTCCGCATTTAAACGTTCACCCAGATAACGACTTTTAATCGCTTCCTAAATAAATAACCACCTCTAACCGTTTCTAATACTTCTCTTTTCATTTTAATAAAAGCTATATTTTATTTTTATGTAGAACAGAATAACAACAGTCCTTGTTTGATAATTAATCCTGGTCCACCTGCTCTTATTAAGAGGAAAAATTATCAATCACTTCCTACAACAGGTGTTAGCTAACTCTTGCTATATACGGTGTGTATATATACAGTATATATATAATATAGATGTACTGTATATCTTATTTATAAATATAGATCTTTAAAAAGTATGAAAAAATGTATTTTAATTTGTAATAAGAAAAAATTATTACTGATGCACTTTTGGTTGAAATTTTACCTTTTTCAATTACACATTAAAATGCATTCTCTCATACTTTTAGAGAATGACTACATATTAAATTTTTAAAATTCAAATCTCTACAGATTCAATACATTTAACATATTGTCAAATTATACAGTACTTAATTTTTCTGTTTGCATTAAAAAATTTTCTAATTTAATAATGCAATTGCAATTATTAAACAAAAATAATCTTCAAATGCTTAATTTAATATTGTATAAAATGTCTCAAAGATACTTTAATAAATCCAAAAAATATTTGAAAACCTTTATATGAAACCATTTAAATTTCCTGAATATTTAAAACAAAAACTTTATAATCTTTATTTAGACATTGTAAATACCTATAAAATTTTTAAGAGTTAAGAATATATTTGTAGTTGTGTGATCTCTCACCCTCTCTCTTTTCTCTAATATTTTATATTTTGTATTTAATATATTAAATGTGATGAATCCATGTGACAAAACATGTGCCAAAAAACTTGCCCATCCAGAAAAGTTGCTTAAGCTTGTGCTTTGATCCCAGACAAAAGCCTTCCTCAAAATAGTTTTGATGACAAATATGAACTTGAAAGTGAAAGACATAAATGTAATGAATGCCTATAATACCTGAACTGACAAAAATGTAAATTCATGTTTTATAAACACATCTTAATGACAGTGACTTAAAATGACAAGTAACTATGCAATTACAAATGCCAAAAAGATGCATAAATCTGTATAGAAATCATAAATTGTTAGATGATGAGACAATTACAAATATATGGACCAATTTAAATACTCACATCAAAAATTTGTTCAAAAGTACAAACAATACCTGCACTATTACGGCTATATAAGAAACAAATATCTTAAAATTTTCATTATAACTCAAAAATGATTAATAATTACATTACAACATATTATCATATTATATATCAGGGGTAGGCAAGCAAGAATTCAGTAGGAACCGAAATGTGGGTTTTGCAAAATGCATCAGAGCCACAGTTCTGTACTTTTTTTATTCTGTACTGCAATTTTATTATATAATATAAATATAATAGAACTGTTGAACTGTTCAACAATTCTAAAGAAAATATTACAACACGACTTCACAACAAACGATAAATATAATATAAAACAAATATTGAATTTTTTTAATAAACATATTTTAACAAAATTGTGGAAATAAAATTGTAAAAATAATAATAAAAAGCAGAAATTACCACTTTCGGCAANAATATTGAATTTTTTTAATAAACATATTTTCACAAAATTGTGGAAATAAAATTGTAAAAATAATAATAAAAAGCAGAAATTAACACTTTCAGCAAAAGAGCAGCATTTGCCCATGTCTGTTATATATAATATGAATATTATAAAATATAAAAAATGAACAACTATTCTTTCATGTAGAAATGAATATAAAAATATATTTGTACAAAGGTAAATACTTTGGCCCATTTCTTTTCCTGTCACTGAAGTGAACAATGGAAAAGAAACAGACCAAAGTATTTAGCTTTGTACAAAAGTTATATTTTTATATTTATTTCTACAATTAAATGCAATACTGTTGGCCATGTTTTTTACTATTTTTTGTTTCTTTCTTGTTAATATACTTTCAATTTTTGTATATAATTTTTTTTTTTTCAGGAATTCATTCACATAATAAATCTAATTTCTTTCATGCTTTCAATATTTTGTCTACAAATATATTTTTATAATTATCATAATGTTTTATTAACAAACATGCCTGATAAATTTTTGGTATAATTATTATTAAAAATATAAATGGCATTTTTAAAAACTTACAATTCAAAGATATCAAATTATATTAAGATATAATTTCTTATATTAAAATTTTATTTATATTGTATAAGTTCAATATAACAATATTAAACACCCTAATATGCTAGAAATTTTGGGTGTTGGTCTGTTATATATATATGTGCATATTTTTGTTATCACCACCCAAAATACTTTAAACTAGAAATATTAAAACAGAATAATACAAGCATAATTTGGACAAACAGATGATAAATTACAAACAACTAATAATCATTTAAACTATCAATGGAAAAAAAAAAGATATGCAATTTTCAAAAATTTTTTATGAATAACTTGAATAATGTACAACTAAAACTAAAATATAGAAAAAAGGAGATTTAGTACAGTTACTATTTACAAAATATTAAACAACAGGTTGAACTGAAATCTATATAAAACAAACTAAAAAATAACAAATAACCTCAGTCCCTAACATAATAATATAACATATTGTTATCAGGAAATACAAATAAATTGTATAGTTTTATTCCTAATTTTTAATTTAAAACTGTATTACTTTATCTAAGCCCTAAAATATTATATGTTATTTTGTAGAAACTTATTAAATCATTTTTAAAAACAATGATTGTTATTCTGTAAGCATGTAATAATGATTCAGAATTTTGTCATCTTAAATCAATGTATATATCAAGTTTGTAAATCTCATATTATACTACATAACTTACAAATAATAAAAGTTTATCTGGAAAAAAATTCTTCAAAAAAGCATATTAAATAACGGTAAAAAGAAGAACTTACAAACAGAACTTAATAATAATGAAAAATATATCATAATGTGAAATTATTTCTCTAAAATTTTTTCTTTCTTTTTAAATTGTATATCATTACAAATGACACAATACTTTAATTTTTCTATTTAGTTAACAAATAGCATCTGATTATTTTTAATGTTTTTTTTTTTCATTTTACCATATATATATCCTCCATATTATTTTAGTTAAAATAAACATTTTAAAATTTATGTATGGAAAACATTGCATTTTTAAAATTTCTCTACAATATATGATATACTCAATTTGCCTATTTATTCCCATGCTTTTTATTTAATGTTATTTTTCAATAGTTGAGGTTTTTAATAACTTTATATTAATATAGTTCTAATTTAATGAATGGTTAGCTTAAACTAAAATTATAATTTTCATTGCAATTATATTAAAAATTCTATTAAATGTTTGTTTATGTCATTTTCAGTGGGATTTTAGTTGCTATACATTGATAAAGAGAAAGTTTGTTTTTTTCTTAACTCCGAACTTTAAAGAGAACAAGGACATTTCGTTATCTAAATTATTAAATTTTTCATTGAATGATTTGTGAATAAATATGAAATACTCCTTTATTAAAGCAGAATTATATAAGTATCTCTTTACATGTACTGTAATAAAATCATATTCTGTATTTATTGAGGTTCAAAAGCAACAATTCTTTAACAAGATGCAAAGTAATGACTGAAAAAGATTTTGTATGAAACAATTGCTTTGACTAAATTTAGACAACCTTTTTTGGAATTTCTCACTATAAACTGATATCTTTGTCATTTCTCCTGATATTTGTTTTCTCTCACACTACGTAACTAACGATTTCAAATTCAAAAATTTGACAGCATTATAGTTTTTATTAATTTCATTTTAGTCACTCTAGTTCAGTTAGTTTAGTTAATTCAGTCACAGGTTGATGGAAATTTAATTTTATTAATTAATTAAATTTATTATTATTATTAATTTAAATAACAACTCAAATTCAAATGGGATAATCAAGGTGATAGCCCACTAATTACTGTAATGATATCATACAACTGAATAACTTAAAGGATTTTTTTACATGCTTTTTAACACAATATTCAGCAAACATATTTTACATATAAACGAAAATACGAAAAACAAATGTATTAAGTACTAAATACATATTGAAACTTAATTCCAATTACATAAATTTTAAAAATAACGACTGTCTGCCAAAATTCGTACAATCTCTTGTAATTTTGTTAAAATTAGTTTACTGTTTGTAAACGAACCTTTAAACACTACCCATCGGGTAATCGATGACTCAAACACGGACCAAACATTTGTTTACTCGCGAGTCATCGCCAATCGAGTCAAACAGAAAAATGTATTAGAAATAGAAAATACCCAGAAAAAAACAATAATTTAATTGGAAACTTACCCGTTGATGCTGTAATTAACATTCTTTCTTCGTTTTTCGGATGATTTCAATAGCATTCCCATAGGAGTGAAAGGGTTGACGTTAGCTTCTGCATTCCGATACTTGTTCTTATATTTTAAACGGTTCCTGCGAATTCCTTCTGCGATGTGACTCCTGAATCTCTTCTTAAACTCTTCCGACGTAGCTTCCGACGTTTCTAACAGAGTCCTGGGAGTCTGAGGATCTTCGAATAGTCTTAAAGCCCTTACGGGTTTGTATGGAGGACTGTGAGACTCCTTCAATTTCTGTCTCCTGGATCTTCCCATGAGACGATTCTTCTTGGGAGAATCACAAACACGCTTCATCGACCACAAATCCGATCGGCAATCGTCCTTCTTCTCTTCCTCTTCCCGCGAAACGTTTTCTTTCCAAATATTAAAAGCATCGTCCGGATCGTCGACTAAAGCTCGGTCGTCGTCGACGAAACCCAGTCTTTTCCTGACGTCGTCCAAACAGTTCAGTCTCATCGGCATTCGCTGCGAAACCAACGACATTTTCCCGACTGAATTTCACTAAAACTAATCGAAACGATTAAATAACCGAAGAAAAACATCGATCGTCGACAAATACCGCGAACAAAAATGGCGCTCATTTGCTCAGGCGCACGTGACGACCGTTACCGGGACAAATCGAAATCGTCGACGCTGACGTCATGTTTGACATCACGTATTGCGTCAGAGAGGACGTACGGAATATTAATTAGGGTATCCACCTGGAGGAAATTTAACGGCCGAAATTAGAATTTTCGGATTTTCGACCGCTAAAAAATTAAAAATACGTCGGAAGAATTTCGTTCCTTTGTCTTCGCCGTGAATAAGACTCGAGACTTTCGGATCGTTCTTTACATCTTGGTTCTTTCGGTGGAAGAGAAAAAACGGAAGGCGAAACTTCTTTCGGTCTTCAGAGACGAAGAATGTTTGAATCATTCCTATTTTATTTCTTTTGAAAGAATTTTTGAGAGGAATAAAACCGATAGACGAATTGGAAAACACTTCCAGAATTCATCTCTGTATCTTCTCTCTTTTCCGTCGAACATTCAAACGACTCCAGCGGAAAGGACAAAGGTCACGAGTGAAATTTCTTTTTAATTTTCCGCCTCGTGAGCACTAAGAGGGCTCTTTTGCAAACCCCTTATGGATTCGACCATAAGGGCTCACAATGGGTGACTGGGTAGTGAAGGACGGAGCCCGATATATCCGGACGGACCACCCCCATAAAATTTCTGGGGATTTTTCGATCCGTCCGGATTCGATTCTGGGTCACAGAGAGCGGTAGGCTGCCACCTTGACCATCCGGCCGTCATACGAGGGAAGTTGGAATTCGAGGTCAGGATCAGGCCCGAGTTGAATCTCCAGAAATTTTCGAGAATCCGGTTCGAACGTCTAGGAGTATAAAAAAAGCTTCTTACAGTTTTGAAGATAGAAATTGCTTAAAAAACGAATGCGACATGTCAGATTAGAAACAAATTTTGACCCAGGAATGTGTACTAAATATAGACCCATCGAGGCCGATGGCCGAGAGGTCAAGGTGGCAGCCTACCGCTCTATGTGATCCGGAATCGAATCCGGGCAAGTCGAAAAATCTACAGGAATTTTTCGGGGAATGGTCCGTCCTGATATGTCGGGCCCCGTCCCTCACATCCGGCCGCCCCATTGTGGGCATGGCTGAACCCATAATGGCCTTGCTAAAAGAGGCCTTCTTAGTGCTCACAAGGGCAGAAACAGTTCAAAAATATTTATGTAAGCCCATTTGTATGTATATGTTTATCGTTGGCCGGATGACCGAGGTGGTTAAAGCGTCAGCCTACAGGGAAGCAAAATTAAAAAACAGACAATTAAACGAAACAAAATTGTTGAGCAATTTACTTTGCGCCCAATGTCGCTAGCTTAAAATATTCAATTATTGCAAAATAGGACGATAATTTCTTCGGGAAGAAAATATCCTTTTAATAACTCCAGCTCGAATATCGATCGAGATAAGGTCTAGTCGTGAGCATCTTTCGACCGCTGAATCACAAACACGCTTCATCGACCACAAATCCGATCGGCAAACGTCCTCTTCCTCTTTATTACTAAATTCCTTGTCGGATGGATAGAAGAAAGAGGTTCGACACGACTAGGCGGCGACCATATAAAATCGGGTTTGTTTCCTCATCATTTTAAAGAGTTAGAAGAGCGCCTAAAGACACTCTTCCGATCAAATCTTTCTATCCGCGCCGTTATTCGTGAAGATTGGAAAGACCACCCGAATATTTTCAATCGAAGCGACCTATAAGATATGCTGGTTTTGACAACAGCTTCTAGCAATTAATTGTTATTCCACAAAACTGGCTTTTGATCGAGCGCAGCTTTTTCAGAATTTGGGAGCGATTTCATTCGTTAAGATCGTCATTCACTAAGTGAGAAAGGGAACAGACGTCTGTTCCATTGTGTTTACAGTTACGTAATTCCAGAATCCTCGAACTGTAGTATGATGTCCATCTATTGACAATACTGGAATTTCAGCATTTTCGGTTTTCTTATCGAACACATTCTCAGGAGGAGATAGAGAATGGAAATAATGGAGATGAAACTGAAGGTTTATTTCCTTTTCTCGAAAATTATGATTAAATCGTTCTACCTGATTTCTTTATAGAATTTTGACAAAGTATCCGAGTGGTTGGAAGACAGTGATGGTATGGCCTGAACGGTCTTACTATTCCTAATCACCAACGTGTTCGGAAGTTAATCGCCACTCTGTGGGAGGTCCGGATTCGAATCTCTCTGGAAACCGACTTCTGACTTCGTACTACCGAGATTCTGGCCGGATGGCCGAGCGGTCAAGATGGCAGCGTACCGCTCTGGGGGACCCGGTCAAATCCGAACGGGTCGAAAAATCCCCAGGAATTTTTCGGGGGTGGTCCGTTCGGATATGTCGGGCCCCGTCCCTCATCACCCGGCAGCCCCATTGTGGGCCTGACCGAACCCATAATGGGCTTGCAAAAAGAGGCCCTCTTAGTGCCCACAGGGTGAAAAGATTAAAAAAAAAAAAAAAACTACGGAGAATCCGTTTCTTTTCGTCGAGAAGAAAGGTAAGATATTCCAAGAATACTGTAAATGGAATGAAATGTAAGCGCAAGAACGCACTCGGACATTCGGACGCCTAGAACATGGTTTTCTCTTGGCCTCTGGAAAGCCGAATTCGATTCCTTCCGCTTGAATAAAGAAGTCCTCTTTACAGTCGTGAGAAATAATTGTTAAAAATTCAATCAAAAGATTTTATTTTAGAAAAGCAAATTTTTGTCGGTCGAAAAATTATATGTTGGACCTAAGTTCGGTCGAGATAATCCATATTATATAGACACGTTCTTAATTTCAAAATCGCTGATGCGATTATCGGATTATGGTACCAATCTAGAGTTCTGACAGACTCGAGAACGGACGGCCGGATGGCTGAGCGGTCAAGGTGGCAGCCTACCACTCTCGGGGACCCGCGATCGAATCCAGACGGGTGTGGTCCGTCCGAATATATCGGGCCCCGTTCCTCACTACCCGGTCGCCCCATTCTAAACCGGCCGAAGCCATAACGGGCTTGCTAAAAAGAGGCCCTCTTAGTGCCCACAGGGCGGAAAGAGTTAAGAGTTAAGGGGAAAAAAATGATTCAAGAACGAATCCGGACGGTTCGAAAAACTCCAGAAAATTTTTGGGAAAGGGCCGGACCCGACATATTTAGAACGGATATGTCCCGGCCCAGACCGGGTGGTCTGGTCTATTGTGGGCATAGCCTCACTCTTGGCTTAAACTATGACTTCAAAACAGTCTAAAATACAGTACTATTTGTCCACCTCGATGATGAGACGGCCAGATGGCTGAGGCGGTTAAAGCGTCAGCCTACTGCTTCGGAGGCGAGGAATCAAATCAAGAATTTTTCATCGGCAGTCTGTTCCAGATATATCGGACACTCATAAAGGGTGTCCAAATCACTGCATAATCACATAATATTTTCTATAGCTTCTCCCAATTCACTAGCCCGTTTCAAGATTCCCACTTTGATTTTTTGTTTGTTTAGTTATGGCAACGCAACACTTGGGCGATCTGCCTAGGGACGATGCCTTCCAGGAGATCTTTGTAATGGAAACTGGCCACTATTTAGGCGTTACAGACATGGAGGAAACCCAGAAAACTTCACGTGGCAAGCCCGTCCGAGCGAGGCGCAAACCCACGACCGAACTCCCAATGTTCAGGGAACGAAGACCGCTTGGCCAATGGTGGGTGTGGTGACAAGCGTACGTGCCCTTTGACCCTGTGAGATGTCAGCGACACCTTTGCTACCAACAGGGATACTCATGCTGAACAGGTCAGAGGATCGACGACTGGATGGCCGAGAGGTCAAGGTGGTAGCCTACTGCTCTGGGTACCCCGGGATCGAATCCGGGCAGGGTCGAAAAACCTCCATAAATTTTTCGGTGGTAGTCCGTCCTGATATGTCGGGCCACGTCTCTCACCACCCGGCCGCCTCATTGTGGGCCTGGCTGCACCCATAATGGGATTGCTAAAACAGGCCCTCTTAGTGCCCACAGGACAAAAAGAATTAAAAAAGGACAGAGGAAAGGAACTAGATAAAGGTGGGATCACTGGTCCTTCAGTCTTGGGGTAGTGCGTAGGGCTAATACTCCAATGTAAAAACTTTTAGTTAAAGGAAAGGAATACGCGTATAGAGATAATCTGGGAGACTTAGTCCTTGAAAAGGCACGTTGCTATCATCAATAACATTTCTCCAGTCACATTAGAGAGGTCGCAGCCGTCATATTCAACCCAAAACGTGAACGGCGGACGGTCGAGCGCGCCATCTGGCAATTCTAGATGGTCGATAATAGCGTTCGTTATGTCTAGCATGGCGAGTAGGAGTAAGGGATCTTCATTTTTTTGTGTTTGGGGTTAAAATTATGACATATTTTATTAAAATAATGATTATTTAAGCATTTGTGAATGACATTATAAAGAAACAGACTATTTTAATCCAGAAATTATTTAATTATTCAAGTTTTTATTGAGTGATGTGAAGTGCCTATAGAATTCACATATATTTGCCTTGATAATAGCTTATGTTAAAAAATCTGATTTAGTGAAACATTGTAGAAGTAATAAGCACCAACGAAATGCATCCACTATTGCTGAAAGCGCAGAAATTTCTGTCATTTTTTAAATCTAAATCTTCAAAAAAGGTTATTGCAGAATTACGGTACTCTTTATTAGTTGCTTCACATAATTTCAGTTTCCAATCTATCGATCACATTGTCAAAGTTGGTAAAACTTTGATTTTTTGCAAAATAAAAAAATTTCCGTTCTGTTAGACAAAAGCACAGATATTTCTAATCAACTTTTACTTTGTATTCTTGTGAAATATATTTTTAATAATCAGTAAAAACAAATTTTTTAGATATTGTCCGTGTTGATTCTGATAGTGGTACAACAAAAGGTTTATATTTTAAAAAGTTTTGCAAGCATATCAGATAAACGAAAGTCAAATAGTAAGATACATTTGTCTCCCATCATTACATTTGCATTGTTTAGACAATGCAAATGTAATGATGGGAGACAAAGAATCTTTTAAAACCCACTTGTTAGCCAATAATAGCAATGTAATAATGAATTCCTGCGTTTGTCATAGTGTGCACCTAGTAGCTGTTAGTGCTGCTTATGAAATACCGTTTAATATTGAAAATTTACTGCAAAGTTTATATAGATATTTTTCTCCAAGTCCAAAGCGACAATCAATACTGTCTGAATTCCAGGATTATATGAAAAAGTCAAGCTTAAAATAACAAGTCCCGGCAAAACACGATGGCTAGCATTATCAACATGCGTAGATCGTATAATAGATCGATGGGATGTGTTGTTTGAAGTTTTTCGAGTCGCAGAATTTGAAGAAAAAAAATCAAACATGTCAGTTTATTTTTAATCAAATGCAGAATCAGTATGTTAAAACTTATTATTTTTTAAATATATATTACTTTTAATCAATG